GTTGAAACCCACTTTGTGCATACAGACCGAGTTCGTCCCCAGTCATGCTTTGACTTGCTGTGCTTGGTGGCCACCTTCCTCTAAGCGGAATGATGGCCAGTGTCAAATGAGCCTTGATCGTCATTGATTCACCAATGAGATTACACCTTGATTGTCTATGTGCAATCTAGGCATCTCACTAATTGTATGTGAACGACTTAACTATAACACACGAAACAACTATCTTTGTATTCATGTGTTATCTTAATAGAAGCTGATTACACGCATACATAATCTTGTACCCTTTACTTTCTATATCATTTGCCGGGAGCTACTGGGTTTCGTATCATCAACACCACGATCCTCTGAATGAGGAACTCAACTGATAAAGTACAGAATATCTGAGTCCCATTTTTGGGTGGAACCAGATAACATCGTTGACTGTTTCCTTATGGGCTTTCCTTTTATTTACCTAATGTTTGTTTCGTGCGTGACGCGTAATTCCCAGAGGACCCATCTTTATGCCCATCATGTTGTGACCGTCCTGACCATATCAATTTTCACCAGCTGGAATACCGTCCACTTAAGAGCTCAGAGCACTTTTTGCGCAATTACCTGAGAACGGCTAGGTTCTTATCAACTAAGGCGTGAATTCGTTTCCGGATTAAATTACTACACTATTCGGCTTCATACTATTGGTTTGGTTACCGCATTCGGCACAAACCAGTGTGACGCGACCTCTTTTACCCACTTTCGCGACTGCACCTCCCCCAGGTGGATGGAGTTACGAGACCTCAGGATCCTGGTATTTGAGATCTGGTCATATTCAGCAAAATTTTACCAGGCGATACATGTGCTGCTGAACACAAATACGCATAAATATATAAGCAAATATTGAATATTAACAACTTTGACCACAGTCCTTCAACTGACCCTTGCTTTACCACATAAATCACCATTCCCGGGTATTGTGACAGCTTCCATCTGAGGCAACATCAAGTTGGTTTCACTCGCTCTTACCACCTTTTTTGGTCTCTGATGTGTTATTACTGCACAGCCTCCGTTGGTGGGTGTTTCCCATTACGTAACACCCATGATAACACGCGAAATCAATGTTCGTTTCCACATGTCGCGCGTGCGCTGAATATGCATTCGTGTTGTGTCCTGGTGTCTGTCGTGGTTGCGACGGGAGGCTGCAATTACTCTCTTGTGTGGTTGTTGCCATGTTAGCTAAAAGGCCAACCTGTGGAAGTCGGTAAATGATACTTGACTTACTTACCCATTCCCCATGTGACATGGGATCCATGCTGCCATTGCATTTGAGCGCTTGCGGATCTTACGCTTTGCTTATATGTTGTTCTGAGTCACTGTTATTTTGGTCCATGCATTCTCATTATTTTCCTTGTCGATATTTACTTTTGTATGAATGAGACGTTATCACACTGGATCCTCGCAACCGGTATACATGTTTCGTCTCCTGGGTTAGAGTACAAGCCGCTATGTTCAACCTTCACGATCGATTTCGGTTTCCGATGCTTTATGACGTCGCGGCGGTTTATACCCCCTACAGCGCGTCTACATCCTTTCTTTACCAACTCGGTGCCTAAGTTTCTGTGATGGGGACTGGAAATGCTGTGGTACCGGTGTGCAGATGGCCAATCGAACCCCACAGGGTATCTCGCGGAGTACCAGACAGGTGCAACCCAGCCCGAGAGAAAGTGAGCATGTCATCGGAAGCAGATTGGCCAGTCGAGCAGCAAATGATTGGCGCACGCCCGCGTTGAGCTCTGCAAGTACAGCCAACAAAAGTCCACTGAATGTGCGCGTGACTAATCAGGCGCCAGGGAGTTTCAAAAGCACAGGCGAAGAAGCGCGTACCCGTGAGGAGCGTATTGGTGCCCATTTGAGTTAAGATTTGTTGTATTGGACCGAGGGAAGAAGCGTGCGGCCTGATGGACGAGTGCCAAACCGAGAAAATCGTACAATCCATCAAGAAAGTCGTGATAATTTTAGACAACATGAATGTGGGCAAGCAAGCGTAAGCCAATGAAAATGGAGCCAGCGACAGAATGCAGATAAGAACGATGAGCCAGCGAAGCATCATCATCAATTGCAGTTGGTTCGTTCCTTTTTGGCCACTGATCACAGCTCACTAGGTCCCTCCTGGGTCCCAGGGTGAGTGGTTCACCGGGTGGAGAACTGTTCTCTCTAGGCGATTAAGCTCCTGGTCAACCATTGATGTTGCTGCGTAAGGTATAGGGCGTCTCGTGCGGAACACTGAAACGGCATCGGGCTTAATGGATAGTGAAGCTCGTACCTTCGTCTTGCACTCCATTCTATGCAGATTGTCTGTACAATTGACTGGGCAGGCCATTACACCGAGTTGCAGACCCTTGCATTTCGGTTCGCAGGCGATTTTCCTGACTAGCAACAATGGGCCCCTTGATGCGCTTTGACGCTTTCGGAATGTGGCAATAATCGCAATAGGGGCTTCTGTTTCGGCACATTTTTATTCACGTTCTGGCCTCCATTAGCTCTGTGGCGAATCCGGAGCTCATATCTGGTATTTGAATTTTCACCCTTTTTCGTGTCTAATCCCAAGTTGAGCTATTTGCAACATCCATCTGCAATCTCCTCTGATTTTAGCTCTGGTTGAAGTTCACATTCTGCTTAATTGTTCAAGTTCTGTACCAGCAACTCTGTCCATTGCCGCCGTGATTCAGACATTAGCTGCTGGAGCTGTAGGTGCGTCTGCATTTGTTCTGAAGAGATGGCTGTAACCTGGTGCTACATCAACACACGTTACTTGAGGGTGAGCAACACACCTCAGCTAATGTGCCGCAATACAAAAAGGTAAGGTACAAAAAATTACACCACAAAATAAATCAAAAGCAGGCAGTATAATGTTAAATATTATGTACTCCGCATAAGATCAGAATTAGGGAAAGTCTAAAAGGGAGGAGGGCGGACAAAGGAACTCACAACACAAACGCCGCTGGGGCCGGCTCCAAGTCATATCAGCAAGTGTGTCCAACCAAACGTGTTCATCGTTTTTAGGACCCCAGCCAGGTAGTCGGGATCCACCAACTGACACCAACTTCGAAGTGAGGGTTTTCACTTCTCTCTACCAAGTTATGACTTGGCCTCTCCTCCTCCTCCCACCACACTCCCGGCCCGCAAACAATGCACGTCGCGGGAGTCGGTGTGCTGGCAAGCGCAACACGGGACCCATCCATTGGAGCCTGATGCGTGATAGAATGGTACTGAGCTGTTCACTCGCTCTTTCTGCACCAAATACACGACGCCGAACACGCTCATTGCTCACGCGGTGCTCCCATCAGACATAAGTTAAGCTGCGAAGGTAGCGATGATCGAATGTGACGAAGCTCTTTATGTCTGTCGACCTGATGGACCAGGTTTCACAACAACATAGAAGGGTTGAACGGACCTCTGTGTTATAAACTCTGCCCTTCATGGCGAGAGGAATGTCGCGTCTGCGCCACAGGTGGCGGAGATTGGCAAAAGCATCTCGAGCTTTTGCTGTACGGTTCGTAACCTCATCTTCGATCCCACAGGCGCTAATATAGCTGCCCAGGTACTTGAATTCCTGAACGGCTTCTAGCAGATCACCACCAAGCGTTAGTGCATGCTTGGGTCCCTGCCAATCTTGGATAATTGTTTTGCATTTCGTTGGAGCAAAGCATAGCCCAAAACGATAGACAGCCAGTGCTAATCGGTCCATTGCTGCTTGGCATGTTTGGGAGCTGTCATATTTGAGGGCAATATCGTCCGGATACTCCACGTCAACAAGTCGCATACCAGGAAGTAACCACACCTTGTAGATCGTGTTCAAGGAATGCTGTTTTCATGACTTCCTCAATGGCGAAGTTGAAGAGGAAAGGTGACAGCAGGCAACTTTGTCTTACACTGCTGGAGATGTTGAATGGTGGCGATAGTTTGCCATAAACCCTTATTCTGCCCGAACTATTCGTGTACAGCGCTTTGATAATGTTTATATGTTTTTCGGGCACCTTTTCTGAGCAGACTGTCCCAAAGGGCACATCGATCAACCGAAACGAATACACCTTTGATGTCGATAAACATGGGTGGGTCGCTAATAAACATGGCGATGCTCCAACAATTTGCGCAAGCTGAAGATGTGGTCGATGCAGCCCCGACCGCGACGAAACCCGGCTTGCTCTTCACGGATCTGGCTTTCACGAGTGCCAGTCAGTCTGTGAAGAATGACAGACGCAAGCAATTTAGAGGCATTTGTGATCAGACTGATCCCTCTATGATTGCCGCATTCCGAACGGGAGCCTCCCTTGAAAATTGGGACAATGACGGAGCGGCTCCAGTCTGTCTGGACAGTCTCCTGCTCCCAAAGTTTCATTAGCAACTCATGTAAATCCTCTACAAGAACAGCCCCCCTGCATTTGAAGCGGACTGTTGTAAATAGTGTATATGCTCTATAAATATGCAAGCGTAATCGTAATAAACAACTTCGTGATCGCGGCCCAATCTTCTTGCTTTCCGGAGGGCCAGTCGACACTTTATGCCTTCATAAACACTCAAATGATTGACTTCAACCATATGTTGTGTCATCTTTTTGAGTACTCATTTTAGTATTTTTGCTATGGGATAGTTAAGATGTTGGGTACATTTCGTTCAGCAGCTTCTTATTTCGATCTTACTTTATCAATGGTAGCAAGCGTTCCCTGCGCCGTATCCGGACAGGATTGTCATTCAAGTCGGCGCTGTTCAATCTTTGTGCGTGTTACTTTTCGAATGTAGGGCTTTCAACTTAGTCTGGACCGACCATTTATTTACTTCTCTTGCTGATGTCAGCAGCACCAGCTGTTTAGTCTTACATCCCAAGTGGAGCACTATTTTTGTAAATTTTTCAACTTGCTGCTGTTCCAGGCTGTTATCGATTTGAATGTTATACCCCTTTTTTATTTCCGGCTTCCTTCAATGTGTCCAATCTGTTGTTGCCGCCGTCATTTTATGTTCCGTTGCAGCACACTCGTCCGGATCATTAGGTGCCCAAACAAGTGTTCCACTAATGGGAGATGCACGCAGCCACGTATCTACACATGTGCCTCGTACCCGTCTTCCACTCACAAGTGTATGCTTACACCGAATCGATCTGGGGCGAAAGGATGCCTTGGTTGCACCACCTGTCGCACAACTGATCACTCGTTCTGCAGGTGGCACCTAATTTTGATGTTTCAGTTTTGTAACTATTGCGTTGTCTCATAATGTCTTTCGCAATTCGACCCTTTTGTTAATTCATTTGCTATTTATTTACCGAAATCAATTAATCAACAATATAACCCCATCATGCTTAATGATGTGTAATCATTTACTGGGCAAAGATTAGATGCCATCCTCCCAGAAAGAATGAGGTTGGCGATCAGAGAAGTCTGTGAAGTAACTTTTGAGCTAGTTGTATTATTTAACTTATTTATGTCGCAGATGCTACTTCAGGGCGCAGTGGAAATGATAATCCGTTAGAGCAATATCAGAGCTATGCGGTGGATGTGGTACCGTGGTCCAGCCTGATTTCTCCAAAAAGTGGCGAGTCGACTTTCCAATGTGAGGTTGAGAGTTATGCTAGAGGAGGGGGGTACTGATTCGTTTCGGACGCTTTTCTTGCACTGTTGCGGCCAACATCCAGAATTGCTCTCCGTAGACGTCGGCATTGATGATCTGCTTTTTGTCCAGCAGTTCCCAAAACAGCATGCCATGCCAATCCCAGAGAACCGAGAGAATAATCTTCCGAGCATTTAACTCGGGCTTTGGTTGAGCTGGTAGGTATTCGCTTCGAGGCAGCCAGTAGAGGTGACGTGTGTTGTTCTCTTAGTAGACCCAGGACTCATCTCCATTGATGCTCAATTTGAGCAGGTCCTGCCTGTGCGGTCACAGCAGAATGCTTTCGTAGATGGTCGCGAATGCAGCGCGGTCGTGGTCGGTCAATGCATGAGGTATCCATCAAGACATCATTGATGTAGCCCATTTCATTTCGTGGGCGATCGATGGTACTACGACCGTATTCAAGTATATGCTCCAAATCCTTGTTACTAGCATCCGGATGTACTTCCAGCTCGTAGCGCGGAGCGTCTTCGTCAAAGCTGACCGACCGGTTAGAATGAGATTGCCCTTCACTGATCGTATCGCCTTCGTCGAAACACTTGAATACGCGGCTCACAGTCCGATCGGTAGTAGTACCTACTCCGTCTCGGCCGTCTTTCTTACACTGGTTTCCACCTTATGTTCATGAAGCATAATCGAGCGTAACTCGCGCTGATCCATTTTGATTCTCAGCTTATTAACTCGCAGCGCGCTTGCGCTTTCGTGCCTTATGACCAAATCTTCTAGAACATTCTCCAACATACCACAACCATTTGGCAAAAACGCGATTTGCAATAGAAAAAATATGAAAAACAGAAGTGCGAAAGCAGATGTGGGACAACCCAATAGATGTATCGGACGTTATTGCGCCAATGTTTCTGTGGAAATAGTGATTCCTGTTCTGCAACTGGCACATCTGAGTTGCCTGGTAGACTCGATTTGTTTGTGATAAATCAATTAGTACCAGAGTGCTGGAGAGGCTGCATGCTTTAGACTGAATTTGTCACAACTGGACTTACTCAGACGGACATCGACATCCGACAATCGTTTCGTTATTTTGAGATTTGGCAGCGCGCAACTTCCTTCGGTCCATCGAAAAGCTGAATGTCAGACCTCAACGTTTTGTGAGCAGTGACTTAGGCCTCAGCATTCTGTTCCATCACAATACTTCTGTTGCAGTATGTTGACACTTTTCCGAATCCAGTTGAAAATGCACCAGCTGTCCTTGAGTGAGTGCGGCCGCAAACATACATGCTTGCGTTCACGTTCCTTGGTGTTTTGATAGATTGTTCTTCCGACCCTTGATAACTGTCACTGTTCACCGAATGGACCTTGGCAGATCCTCAGCGACAGTACTGGTTCTGCTTCGTACTCAAAATTCTCCTTTCCTTTTGGTGCACGCGACTAAAAAATTGGCATCTGTGTTCATGTCCTACTGCTGTCTGCCAACAAATTTCTCGATTTCGAGATATTGCACATATCAATATGGTTGTCATTTTTCAGCGGTTGAAGCTGTTGGGCCTTTCTGTCCTCGCTAAGACACATCGATGCACTATTCCTTAGCCAGGTGTCTCTGCCTTAAATGTGCCTCGTTAGCTCTTCCTTTCTTATGCGAATCACGATCTGATCACGAACAAATACCACCACCAAAAACGCCAACAGTATAGCAGTCATTTAAACTCATCATTCGCTGTCATACAACGATGATGACCTATGAAATGAAGAATAATAAGAGGAAGAGAAGGGGGGCTTACCTGAAACCAACACCGTAAGGAAACATTCAGGGCCAAGGCGCCTACACTTTGTATTAACAACTTGCCGTCACCAACAGCTGGCTATCGTGCAAAGATAAGGCGGCATCGGCGAGACAGCTCCCTTGCGGCTTTCACTGCCACGCGTCATAATCAGCCATTACCCCGCGGATAACTCAGCACCAAACACACTTTAAACAGGCAATCCGATTAGAAGACGGCAGCAGACGCGCCACTGGTGTCGGTTGCGAGCCATGTCCTGTAAAATCTCGAGACAATCACAAGGCGGGTCACGTGAACTCCAGTCTCGAAAGCGAGAGGAAGCGACGGCACCCAGTTTTGTCGTCAGTGGTTTCAATGCCTGCTGCCAAGTCAACTTTTCTTCGACTAGAACATTGCGCCACCCTACATCTGGCAGACTAAACAAGGCCCACCTAGGTGAGGAGTGACCAGGCAAACGTAGCAAGTGCCCAAGCCAACGCAACTTGGTCAGTGCTAGCTGTTGTTCTAAGGAATTTTCTTGGTTATCACTGCCCAATACTCGTCTACGCACATCCTCGTTGTGGACACGCTGGTGCCATTCGACACCAGCACTCTTTCGCGGACAACGGTGATGAAAGACTTGAAGGCGCCTCAGATCTTCAGACCGAAGGGGCCAAGTTTCACTACCATTGAGCAGGACGGCCCTCACTGTAGCATTGTATACACGGCCTTTCAGATGGAGGGAAACTCCCTTCTGTCTCCCAAGATGCCGCAAGTTCAAGAAGGCAGTTCTAGCCTTTGCAAAGCGTGAACTGACTTCAGTTTCTATGCACCCATCGTTGCTGATGCAGCTGCCAAGGTCAGCGAATCGATCAACCACTTCGTATTCCTCGTCATCAGTGATCAAGTGGCTGGTGGTCCTGCAGCAACACTGCACTCTGAAGGTGCGAAGCGCGTGCCAACTAATGGGACCACTCTGGACAGGCTATTCAAGGTTGCTGGTGCCGCCCAAACATTGTCAAAAAGCAAGACGATATCGTATGCATAATCTAGATCAACTAACCTTTCGCCAGAAAGCACCTAAATGTCTACATCCTGAAATTTCGTAAGGGAACAATCCATGATAGAGTCCGCGACGAAATTGGAGAAAACGGGGAAATCGGACAACCGTAGACCTTGGTGCGACTTGTAGTGCTCGAGTATGGAATGCGTAAGATGTTCACATATTTCGTGAAAACACTTTTTCGCGCAAGTATTTCGTACGGAATGCATCGAACGCACTCTTTAAGTCGATAAACAGCTATTGTCGGTCTGCGGTATGCGTGGCGCTGCTCTAGCACCTGCCGCAGAGTGAATATGTGGTCTATACAGCCACGTCCTGAGCGGAAATCTGCCTGCTCTTCCCTAATCCGAGCTTCCCGTTCCACAGTGAGACGACGAACTAAAATCGACGCCAGTAATTTGTCACAACTGGCGTCGGGCTAATACCCCTGTGATAAGAACAGTCTGTCCGACTGCTCTTCTTTTATATTGCCACTATGATCGATTCGCTCCAGTTAGCCGGGACACTCTTCCTTCCAGATACGTTCGAATGGGGTAGTCTGTGCTTTGCAGAGGACCTCACCTCCATCCTTAACTAGTGCAGCTGGGAGGGAATCCGGGCCAGCAGCAAGAAAACGATTGAGGGCTGTGATCGCGTTCCGGACCTCAGCCTCCGATGCAGTCTTTAAACTAACTGTCCATGACTCATCCTGCAACACTTTCGTAGGAAGAGGTCCGGGAACAGGGGCCAATTGAACTGATCTTGAAAGTGCTCCGCCCATCGAGCCATCCGGTGCTCCTTATTGTGAATCAATGCATCCGCGCTCTGATTGTCTTTGCGACTAGTGATGAGGATCAGCTGGAAGAGTTTGCGGTAATTGCATACTGCTACTGTCTCCTCCATTTCTTGAGCCCGACTGGTCCACCGTGTTTCCTTGTCAGCACGTAGGCTCCGTTTTAGTTCGCGCCTAACAGTCCGTCCGGTCACATTTTGCTCAGAGCCAGTCGGTAGGTTTCTTATGGATTCCAACAGGTTCACCAACCTCTCGGATATTCAGTGACTGGTGGGGTGACGATTGATAGTGCCACTTTCAGATGTTCCTGCTTCGTGTATGGTGGCTGAGGTACTATTCTGCTGAAGCTCAGTGTCATTACGACAAGGAAGCGAAAGTTCGGTACGCAGTGTGTTTTAATACGATTCCCTGACCGAGGGCTGAGACAATTTCTCAGTTGCTAATCGGAGGGAACGCTTGTTTCGCCTCCCGGTAAAATTCATGGAGAAACGACAGCGTACAAAGGCATGATCAGAGTCGACGCAGGTATACCAGTACGAACGGCAATCTAGGATGGAACCACGCCATCTGTAATTTATGGCAACGTGATCAGTTTGGGTCCATTGCTGGCCAGCTACAGGTGGACACCAAGTGGCAATTCGGCGCCCACAATGTCTAAAAGCAATGCGACTAAGAAACAACTGGTGCTCCGCACATAGTTGCAGCAGACGCTCGCCGTTGGTTTTCCACCAGACCCATGCGTGATTCATCGTGCCAGTTTCGCCTCTGTCTTCATCTTGCAGATGGCACTCCCATAATCGAACGATTCTCAATCAGCGATCCAAAAATCTGTTATTAAAGAAGAGTCATTTTATACCGTACATGAAATTGAATCGCTACTTTGTTGCACCGATTTAATAGCTGCTTTTTGCTAGCCAGCTTCTTGAGTTTATTAACTTGCGCTCATTTTTGTTTCTCGGCTTTTTGGACAACACCTAGCATTACCGTTACAAGTAGCGCTTTGTTTACAATATCCCAAATCAATTCTTGGCTGCTCATCCGGTCAGTGCAAATGTAGTCAGCTTTCGCCGGTGGTGTTGATTGGCCTTCCACCCGCTGGCTCTGTCTGTTCCGTTCGCGCATCGCACCCCGTACCATCGGCTCAG